CGCAAATAAATACTTAACAAGAAGTAAAAGTCAACCAAAGATAATTAACCATTTTAATGAATACCTTAGTAGCGCGGCTCGGTTTAACGTCCGGCAAATCCAAAATCAAAACCCAAATCATCGACGCACAATAATTCACACTAATTCGACTGGATAGTTCCACTTAATAGTCACTCAATGATCACTCAAGAAACACCTAATATTCACCACAGTCAGTAGCCTGACACCGCTATTTATACACCTGGCGGAAAAAAATATATATATATATATATATATATATATATATATATATATATATATATATATATATATATAAATGAAATAGCTTAGAGTCTTGTCTATGCGGAAGTGGCAGTAGGATTAAGAATAAACCACCACAACAGGATCATGGAAACGCGTTTGAACACTGGAAATTGAGGAATTCAATGTTCCAGTCTTGATATAGCTCGTTTTAATGTTCGTTTTTTACCTGATCTGGGCATGTCAGAAAGAGACAGGTACTTACTGGAGTGGTACAAGGAAGTGATAATTTTTCCAGCAATTTTAGGTTGGATCACGGTATTTGAGACTCTATAATGGCATAGAGTATATTCTTGCTGGTTTTGTAAGGACCGGTAGTGAGACTGGAATCTATCTTGACAAGTATGATATATAAATAGTTCTTGTTGCAAAACATTTTCACTTCCTTATCTTCGCCATGTTTCGCGGTTCTAGTCTTTTTTTCTATCTCGGCAGTCCCATTCAGTAACCCTCTTGGTCTATATATTAAGCGCATGCAAAACTCAGCCTGACAGCTCTGGGAACAATTGATCAGGTGACATGGTCCGTCATCCTATCTTTAATAACGAGTTTCTTTGGGCAAGCAGGATAACGGATGTTCCAGTTCCAATAATGGTACCTTGCTTCCGACAATCATCATGCTCCATTAAGGAAGACAATGGATCCATCATTTATCGCTGCAGCTATGGATTAAATAGCCTGGGTCGCAACTATAATAAAAGGAAATCTCTGAAATCGAACTGTTTAAGAAGGCAACGCGAATAGGTAACACTGTCATTCTTAAAGAAGGCATACCAACTCAAAAAATGAAGAGGAAAAAACGAAACGAATCGGCTTTTAAGAATAGGTAAAATATCAGTGTAGACTGCAGTCTAGCTTTGGGTGGCAACCAGTCTAAGAGAAAGTTAACACGGAATTCTAAAGTCAAATAAATTAAAAAGGAAAATTGTTGTGAGCCGTAATCGCCTACATGCTGTCATTTAAAAAAAAATGAAAGTACTAGCTGGGATTCCCTTATTCTATAGCATTGCTACACTTGCCTTAGAAAAAGTGAAAAACACCATTTCGGATATACATGGTCCATCTTTCTGGCATAATTATTATTTTGAGATTACACAATGCTAAATCCTGTTCATATCTAATAACTGCTACAGCTACACCGTTGCAACTACACAACCACTTTACCCATGATAGATATGACATATGACTATTTCTTTTGAAAAAATCCATTTTACGTACTTATATTTTATTCAATCCCGAGCTATTTCGTCAATGTATTTGTTGTGGTATTTTTAGCGTTTCATGATAATGGACAGCTTATTAAACCTTCTAAAATGGTGGGATTAAGATTTATGATTACAGAACGTACGAAATCTTTTGGAAAATTGTAAAAATTATTACTGTCTCTCATTTTCTATTGCCTTTCATAAACGGGAAAAACGTGAATACAGACGCATATTAATTGTAACAACTACTTTAGTTTCCTTTCTTTCACCATATGGTCAGTTTATACCCGGTGGAGTGACAATCAATTTCTATTTTTCACAGACTAGGTTATTTGCAGTGGTGTGCAGTAAGATGAATCTATTTTAGGGGTGTATGATGAAATTTGCTTGATCTTGTCAAATATTGCTTCATCCGTGATTGCATCAGATTTTCAACACACCCAAACATTATTGTCTCGACTATCGATTAGTTGTCCTACGGCCATCGTCTGCGATGGTCATTACTCCAAGGAAGCGTATCAAAATTGTAACGCTGCACGAACACACTGGCAAGGCTTACCAGTCAGCAAATCAAAGTACTATAGATTGGTCCGGAAACTCTTCTGATGTAAATCCAATCGAGAATCTTTGGTCAATCTGCAAAGAAGAACTTCGTGGAATGGACATACTAAGTAATGCAATGGGTCATGTTTCATTGGAAAAAAATAGGGGAATAAAGTAAATGATAACAGAATTATTCGTTTTCTTTCAATTAATTTGCAAAAGAGTGTATTCATTGGGAATTTAGAACTCGTTTTGAAAACATCTTCGGACCGCAAACCGCAAATTGGCATTTTGTAATGCGTGCAAACGCCAGCTAATGTTATTGCAGATTGCAGTTTTAGCAATTAACTCAATTAAAGCACAGATGTGAGACGGCTGCCCACCACATCACTTTTAAGTGATGCCATTCTTTGTAATAATCAGAATTAAACTTTCTAGATAAACGTGCAATCTGATATTACAAATTCTCAAGATTAGAGAAACATTTCAGTATTTGGAGCCAAACTGAAGTGTTTTCGGACGACAATTAGCGAGAGTTTAATCGAGTACACGACACATATTAACGATCGTTAATTATTCCCGTCTACAACAACAAAGACATTTTAGCGACATCGCGAAAAGCAGTGCGTTCTATTTGCTTGCACCTTGGTGTTGCAACTTCTTTATAAAGAAGAAAACATTATTCTTATGAGCACTGTTCTCTTGCTTGTGAAGGAATCACAGATCCTCAGAAGTAATTTTCAGGAAACTGTGGGCGTGCATTTAATATTAATGAGGTTGCAGCCAGCCAGGTGTTTGTGTTATGTATTTGAATATTCTTGAGAGAATCCACCCAATGATCTGCAATGTTATTACACCTGAGCTGGCATCTCGGCTTCAATTCCTTGTTCTGATAATTGTTTTGTTGCGAACAGGTTAATAGGAATAGATAACCCCGCCTTTCGCCCGTCATGCATTTCTTCCACATCTACTGAGCAGAGGTAGAGGCTCGTGCCTTGTTCCCTGTTCAGGATATGGTTTACCGCTTCTTCTTCTTCTTGTTTTTCTTCTTCTTGGTCTTATTCTTCTTCTTCTTCTATGTAAAACAACATTTTGACTGATAAAATCTATTTCTTTAATTTTGCATTGAGTGATTTTGGGTTCATACAAAACCTTTTCTCATAGACATGCTTTCAGGCCTTTTTAATATATACCCAAGACACAAGATCCATTCAACTCATAGGGTTACTGTTTGGTATCAGCTTAAAAAAGAAGTAAATTTCTTGGGTTTCTAGGAACGATAATCGTTAGGATTAGATTTGAAGTGGTCAAGATGTCCGGGTTTCTGTTAAACAAAGCAGCGATTTTTGGGATGAAGCTTTTCGAATGGAAGATAATTCTTACTATTTGGATACAAAAGGAATGGGGATGATGCATATTTTTGCATGTGGAATGGCGAGTCCTAGTTTTAAAGGTTAGTGCTGGCGGCAAAACAGGTGTTATTGAAATAGCAATAAATCAATGGCATTGGTTGAAAAATAATTAATTACAGACAAGGTTCTCATGACACTTTTGAACTTTATCAAGACAAACAAATGAGTATTAATCAGCTCCAGATGCAACAACAAGATTCCATATTTGGTCTGATCCGGTTCTTGTAAAGATAGAATACATAGAGCGAATCAGATACTTATTGGAAACGGTAAAATGAACCAACCATGTTTTCAGTATCTTTAAAAATAAATCATATATATGTCTTTCACTTGAAGCCTGGAGGTGGGCTTGACTCCAAATCGACGGTCAATGCAAGAATCCTCCTTGAGAGGAAATGTATTCATCATGATAGGTAAACTTTCAGGGTCTGCTCGGTGGTGGTGTAAGGTTACTAGTATCGTTTTTGTCGTATTGAATTTTACAAGCCAGATCTTCCTCCATAGTACCTAACTGGGTTAAATGAAAAGAGAGATCAGCTGCTAGTTTCTGGTTCTGCATATACTTTGAGGAGCACCTTTAAAGTCTTATATCATCTACATAGCTATTCACTAAAGATGGGTGTATGTTCTTAGGCAGATCATTCATATAAAGAAGAAAAAGGGTAAAACAAAGGAAATTACACCGAGGAACGCCAGCCTTTATCAGATGACAGGCCGTTAACAACGATCAGCAAAGACCTACCAATTAGGACATGAGAGATGAATGATGTGTGTATAGTCATCGAGTTCATCATTTATTCTCTTGTGGCTTAAGATCTGATATCAATACGTTGCCAGGAAATTGATATAAAGTTTATGTAAATCTTTGAGAATGGCGGTAGACAGTATTCTCGGGATTGGTTACCATCTTAGGCAACTAGCAATATATTTTTTGAATAAGAAGACCCTACCTCAGGTGTAGCGTGTATAAATAGTATCTTGGCCTTAGATCATGATTTATTTTCTAACAGTTCGTTCAATGAATGCCAGCACAAACTTGTATTCTCGACACCATTCTTGACCCTTTTCCTCCAGCCAGATCAATATTTTGTCAACCTTTCAATGTCCCCAAACTCAAAGTTTTAAGATTGCTTCTAATGCTATCATTGAAACTAATTTATTTTGTTTGGTTCAGTCGTTTACCATATGGTGACTCTGTTAAATAACAGCGTGTATAATACGTAAACTCCCATTCTGTTACCGCGTCCTCTTCGACTCATTTGGTCCCTGTTGGGAAGGGTTTCGAAAATTAGATATATTGACAATGTTAAGAACAATGTCATAAAATCTAAAAGACTACTTGATGCTAAAATTCTCTCGCTTTCCATCTCTTCCTCTCGCTCCCTCTCTCTTTAGAGAGAGATAGAGACAGTGAGAGGTAATCTAGGCATTGAGTAGATACGTGTAAGAAGTATATTTTGACTGCAAGTGCTTAGCAAAGAATTTTCGATTACATTGAAACAACAAGGTTTGACTGTTTAATTTTATTACATTTTTCAAGTTCAAAAATAAGCTATTCTGTCTTGGATTATCCGCATCTATCTATCTATCTATCTATCTATCTATCTATCTATCTATCTATCTATCTATCTATCTATTCCAGTCTGTTTATATCTATCTGTTCCAGTTTGTTTTATATATCTATCTATCTATCTATCTATCTATCTATCTATCTATCTATCTATCTATCTATCTATGTATTCCAGTCTGTTTCTATCTATCGATTCCAGTCTGTTTATATCTATCTATCTATCTATCTATCTATCTATCTATCTATCTATCTATCTATCTATCTTATATTATTAACATGTATCTAGTTTATTCTATCCATATCTATCGATCTATCTCGTATTATTACATCTATCTATCTATCTATCTATCTATCTATCTATCTATCTATCTATCTATCTATCTCTTTCTATTGGTTTTTATGTTGGAGAGGCGGCTAAAGCTTCGTCGGTCTGAAGAATGAACAAGAGTGAGGAAAGATGCGAGTATATTATCGAATGTTTATCATCAATGTTTCCTAATAAATCATTTTATTTAAGGCCAACAATCAATAAGATACTGAATATGGCCTTCTTGTCAATCCATAAAATCGTCACATCAATACGGTTATCCATTCTCTTCAGAAATAAGCCGAGTGTCGATACGGAAGAAACATTTCACTCAGAGATAAGAGATAGTATCAAGTAGATAGGTAACAGTGTTTGCTTTTTTTATCGATTGATGAAATTCAAGTCGGTAGCTACGCGGTCTTTTCGTTGGAGGGTTTAAAAATAGAAAAGATTCTAATTGAATTCTAGAATGTAAGTAAAAGACAAGTTCAAAGACTTGTATTTTATTTCAGAAGTGTATGTGATAAAGATTATATATGGTAGATAAGATGGAAAAGGCGCATGAATGTTTCCAATTATTGAATAAATAACACCATGTTGCCAAAACATATATGGGAACAAGAAATGAAAGTGAAAACACCTGGCAGTAGAATAGGATATTATAAAAAAGCTTTCACAAACGTGAATGATTAATAAGCAAATATGAAATTATTTCGAAATGTCGGTAGGCTGATAGTTTTCTTTTTTGAAACAGTTGAAACTCTCGGGGCATATCAAAGAAAAATAACAGCCATTTTGAAAATCAGACTAAGTGAAACAGTCTATTATTGGATAAACAATCCAAAATTTTAAATAAGGATCTTCATATTTCCGCTGTAATTCCCGAAAAAAACAAACAAACAAAAAAAAACCCCAAAAAACACACGTATAACTTAGTATATTACAGAAAATAGATAAATACAAACAAATTTAAACTAGCAATGACCAATATAGTCAATCAATTTCACAGTACAAGAATATTTTTCTACCAATGAATCAATTAATTATATCTGACACACTACAAACTTCTTCAGGAGACGCGTGTCATGTCACTTATGAGAGCAAAGTGCAATAAAAAAAAAAAAAAAAACATCTATCAACCCACAAATTACAAGAACCCTTAAGAAATATTCTGGTCGAAAACACTAAGATTCCATGTAAATCAACTTACCGAAAACATCTTGGTATAAGAGAGGCCCTTTTTATCAAAGATCTCTCCTCGCCATCAAACTCAGTTTGTTTAATAATAGGAGTGACGTGTTGAAATCTTTTTAAAAATGGAAAGATGCTCACTCGAATTCTAGCCGTGTTCAACACGCGAAGGCTCGGAAGTAACGCTCCCACTAGTAGTCACAATTGTACAAATACACCTCAGTCAATATAAAAAACAAACAAAAAAACTAATAACACGAAAACTAAAACCCCTTGAAAATGACTAACGAAGATGAATGAAATGGTGGCATGAACTCACTCCTACCAAACGGAAAATGAAAGAACGCTGGATAATAATATTTTTTCATTATTCATATTATGCTAACATTAACATATTAAGTTAACATTGAAGTCAACACTCAAAGGCGACAGGCTGTTTTAGGCTAGGCGCAATCGTCAGGCCTGACGAGTGCGTCCAGCATGAAACAGACTGTCGCCTCTGAAAGTTGGCTTCAATGTTCACTTTTATATTTGTTTTTACATACGTTCTCTCTCTGATATTGAGCATTTTATCCCATAAATATAGCACACCTTAAAAGTATATTTCTTCATCTTCATCTTTTTGTGATTTCCCATATATATAAACTTGGACTTGGGTTGAAAGCATTATCGGTGTCGTCAATGATATGGAATGAATCCCTGAATTGTCCTGTATTACAAAAACTCTTAAATATACTAAATTATATTTATATATAATATAAAATATACTTTATGCTAGATTTTTGGGTTGAAGTGATTAATATCAATGATAGAATGTATATAAATTAAAAAAAAATGATTGAAGCCAACACCCCTTCATGCAATCGTCAGGTCCTATCTCTCTCTCTCTCTCTCTCTCTCTCTCTATATATATATATATATATATATATATATATATATATATAACTTCCTTATAAGTTGCTCTGTACCATACATTGAGCTCTCTCATATGGACCTTTGGAATAATCCCTACGAATTACAATTTGGTTTTATTATATATATATATATATATATATATATATATATATATATATATATATATATATATATATAAACGTGTGTGAGTGCGTGTGTGTATAAAATTGAACATTGAATCAACACTGAGAGGCAACAAGCTGTTTCATGATGGACACCATCGTGAAAGACCTCTCATCACAGCCTGACGATTGCGACCAGCAAGAAACAACCTGTCGCCTCTGAGTGTTGACTTCAATGTTCAGTTTTATATTTATATTTACATACGCCCTATTGAGCACTTTATCCCATAAATAGTGCAGACGTTAAAACTATATTTCTTCATATATATATATATATATATATATATATATGAAGAAATATAGTCATAAGATGTGCTTTATTTATAGTATAAAGTGCTCAAGATCAGAGATAGAGCGTATGTAAATATAAAAGCGAACATAGAAATCAACACTTATTCAACTGTCGGAGTTGATTCTTGTTTGTTCACCACAGCTGTAGACTGAGGACGCATGGCCGACTGCATAAAGACATTGCTTAGATCCATTGACTAGACCCCAAAAGTTGTTAGTTCAGTACCAGGTTACAGCAGTAATGAACCAAAAAATAATCCTGAAGAGTTGAGTTAAAGTGAAATAACTGTAACATCCGGGAGAGTCATGGCACGTGGAACTTGAACAATCTACTCCAGTGGACCAAATTAATGGCTTCGATTTCCAATCACCTGAACAAGGCCGAACGTACAACAGTCGAAACGATGTGGATATGGCAAGAAATGACATGGCATATAAAAAGAAAAAAAAAGACATTAGTATAATTCAAAATATATTTATATAAAATATTTTTAACGCTTTATATACAAGATATATGTAATGTTTATATCTTGTATATAATGCGTTAACATTTCCCTTTCTTCGTGGTGTAAAAGCTGTGATATAGCGAAAGAGTCTGTCTTGGGATGACGACATACATACATACATACATATGTACATACAAACATATAATTTGAGGGGAGTGGGAGGGGAGTGAGGGCATGAAATAAAGGAGGTGGTCACGCTGGAAACCGAGAGGACAGCAGGACGATATATATATATATATATATATATATATATATATATATATATATATATATATATATATATATGTATGCATGTGTGTATGCGTGCATATATATGTGTGTATACACATATATATATATATATATATATATATATGTATGTATGTGTGTATGTGTATATATATATGTGTGTGTATATATATATATATATATATATATATATATATATATATATATATATACACACTCAGACGTAAGAACATACATATTGTATATGTATAAAAGCGCATGATGAGGAAAGAAAACTTAGAGAATTTAACACCCAAAATTCATATCGAAGCCAAGGAAGGGTAGGGGACATCGTATAAACTAATTAAATAGCCTTTGCAAAATAGAAAGTCAAACAGAAAATTGCAAAAAAAAGACAAAAAGGAAATTTACTCAGACCAAAACTAAGAAGAAAACGTTAAGTTATTGACAGTCATGATCGCCAACTTCCTGAAGGGACACGTCACCTTAAATATAAATTCATCTCTTTAACTTCATCTTGTTTATGACGAATTTTGACAGTTTCTCGGTTGCAATCATCAGTTTTTATTCCATCACATTTACAGAGCAACACACACGGATATATAAAGTAAATGTTTTCCTATACCTGTACGAACATCTAATGTAAGTTTTTCCCCGTTCACCTTTTTGAACAGGTATATGTTGCTACTTTGACAATAATGTATAAATTACAAACATATATTTTCACCTTTCAGCACTGAAGTTGTTTATTAAATAAAATTTACCGTTCCCTCTTAAGTCTTCGAATCGGTACATTTCCTTTTGAAAATATTCTTCAAATACCTTTATTTATGCTAATCTCAAAATATAACTGGCGATGGAGCTTTGCGCTCAAAATGAGTTACGATGAACGATATCAAGTTTTTCACCGATTTATTTATAAAACTGATTCAAAAGACAGAAAAAAAGGCGTAGAAAGAATGGGTTAAAACATTGGGGTAACAATCAAAGCAACCAATAGAAAAAATACAAAAACAAAACGATGTGTTACGCAGCAGAATTATTCTTGTAATGAGAATGATAAATTATTTTAAACAATGATTGTTTCATCAAAGGACGGATGAGTAGGTTATTTCTAGAAGACAAGGCTTCTTTAAGCAAATCAATTTTTTATTTAAGGAATGGCGCGAAATTTTTAATTATCTTTACTCTGAGTTTCGACGATTCCGAAATCCACTCATCAGAAAACAGAAGTGTGTAAACTTGTGACGTAGTATTATTTAAATTTGTTTCTCTTAAAATACGATAATCTATTTGGTAGTTAGATAAACATATGAAATCTGAAATGAGTTATATTTGTAGCAAATTATTTCTGTATTGCGTCGGGAATTCTAAAAGCTTCTCTAAATCATTTTTTTTTAAAAAGTGAATGGGTGTTGGGTTTTCGTATAGTTATATAGGATTTTTGTTACATTTATAGTATCGTAATATTTATTAAAATTCAGTTGGATGAGGGACATCGTATCCGCTAATTAAAGAGATTTTCTGAATTGATAGCAAAACAAAGACAAAAATAAATTATCATGTCTCAAAAGTTACTCAGAGTAAAAAAAAAAATCTTTTGGAGGAAAAAAGTTATATGAGAGTTTCCTCGTTGTGAGCAATAATCAGTTTTTATTCCCACACACTCACATAGCAACCTACTCTTAAATTTCAAGCATTTTTTTCCTTATGTCTGAACAAATAACTGATGTAAGTTTTTCGCTGTTTACATCTTTGAACAGGTATATGTTGTTACTTTGACAATAATATCTAAATTACAAACATATATTTTCACCTTTGAACATTAAAATTGTTTATTAA